CAACCGACGTTCAACAGGTCCCTGTCCTTGCAGACGCGAGTGACCGCTTCCCTTGGCTTTCTTAAGCTCACATGATGCACAAAAGCACAGAATATATGAGTCAGAATGTTTGACTTGAAATATCATCCATGGATTATATAACTACTCTGGATATATCTCGAGGATAAAAAGCGCCAACACATTGGCAAAACACCCTGATGACATCACATCCCGACGTTGTGCATATAATTCCAAACACGACACGGCACATCTTCGGCAGCCTTGCAGGTTGGGTTGCCAACAAGTGACAATCGCCGCATGAATCGCATGAATCGCATGAATCCCTTGGCAATAATAATAGTAAAAAAGGGACTCGATCCGTGGCAGTTGAGAGTCCGCTAACGGGAGGGCTGTGCCGGGACTGGAGAGCGCCAAGTGGGCTTCTTTTAACCCCAGTGTCGACCCATCCGCAGCGGCTTTACAGAGCCTCGTTCGGCTGTTTCCCAACTGCTGGAGGCAGATTCCCGCAGGCAATACGAATCGCGAAAAATTCCTCAAGCGTTGATTGTTGGAGAGAATATAAGGCCATCGTGTCTCACCATGCTTTATCTTGCGCTCCATTTATCACCCGCCTGTTGCACCGTTTGTGCTTTTTTCTCTTTATACTTGACTTCTATTCTCTCATCATGCGAACCTCCTGCATCCGCGCTTCGCTGTCAGTTTGATAAGAATACTTCAAGACTTTAAATTTTTGTTATTCAAGTTGAACTCAAGACGATGCTGGTTGATTATGATGGAGCCTTTGTGGTTGGCACTGGTATCCCCTCCGGCGTCCTTCGATTCGCTGGACATGTAGTATTGGGTATCTACACGTCATTGGCATCAACTGCTTATAATTATGTCAAGGACCATGCTGCGATTGTTCAGCAACCGCCTTTCCACCCAAATACATTTTACCTGAGCCATCTTGCTTCAAAATGGGTTCGTGCCATATTTCTTGCCACTTTCCTCTTCTCCTTGCTTCTTCCGTTTTATTTTGCGCCAGCTTTGTCCGTAGATACTATCTTTCTAATTCTATGACCCTCCCTCCCCTTTCTGGTATAGAGCAAAATCGGATTCTGGTGGAACTTTGCCATGTGGATACCGACCATGCTCGCTCCGAGCCTTTATGTCACATTAATCGGCCTGTTTGATGCTGTTATCATGGTCTACTTTGCTATCGCCACGGTGCGCCAGGCGACCTATATTCCCCATTCCCTGGGGCCCTGCAGAATCGCAGAAACCTGGCAGGTTCCCATGAACGGCAACGAAAGTTACTTCCACGTTCTTGAAACTCTTCATACCTATCCGGACGATCCTGACATGAATGTACCATCTGATAAAATCTGTAAGGACTTTGTATCCCAATGGAGGTTTGGGATTGGATCTCTGTATGTACATGTACATACACCTGCACCCCGTCAAAGTGTTTGACTTACACATATCCATTGTCTTTTGCTTTCCAGTTATTAATTTGAACATAGGGTCATATATATTCTAGTGTCATTCTTCAACATCATTGTTAGCTTTGCTCTTTCAATTGTTGGCGTTCGATCGCGTATGACCCCCGAAAGGAAACGAAAAGAGGCCTTTGTCCTTTCCGCAATTAAAGTTATCTTCTTCATGGCATATAGCTTCGGCGGAACCCTCTTTCTGGCTTTCTGGAGTGCACTGGATTTGTTGCCCAATTCCGTACTCTCACGATGCCGATTTAGTGCTCGCTACATGAACAAAATGAGCCAATTTGTCGCTATACCCATTCAGGACCGGCTACAGAAATACCCTATATCGTTTCCATTTTTCAAACGCTACCAGCCCCCTCCAGCGCCTATGATGGTTCAGGCCAAAGCCAAAAGCGAAAGCGCTCCACTGGCAAGGTTTCTACATCTTGACATACTAACCCTTGTCGCCCAACGCTTGCATTATCAAGACCTGGTAAACTTGAGCCTGTCATCAAAGGAAATGCGCGAGACGGTTTTCCCAGATGGCCATTCTAGCGGTAGGCTAGGCATACTTAGGATATATGCTTGTGATAACGCTACAAAAACTGGGTGCTTTGTATGCCAGTTTCCAATATGCGGGGTATGCCCAAATCCCCTGCCCTTCTATTATTTCGCGCCCCGTTTTCCCGTACCTCCTCATCGCTACTCAATTTTTCCAATATCACCCCACAACCATTTTCATCTGGGCATATCTAACAACACACTCTCATAATCTAGTCATGCGGAGACGTGAGGCGCTTTTCCCGACCCCAACTCGACCTGCTCCATGAAGAAACCTGCAAGCCCTATTGTTCCACCTGCTTCTTCAGAAAGATCTGCACCCGTCCACGGTTCAACAGCAGGAGCTGTGATCGGCAAATTACACTCGCAGGTAAATATCACGGTTCAAGAGGCCGATTCAGTCCCGATAGTATCGAAAACGAACGCCTGGTGTGTAGTTCTTGCAAACCGTTTCTCATCTTTGAGTGCCTGGAACAACGGTATGAGCGCGGCAAAGTCAAGATGGAACGCAAACTTAGGCACAGCCAGTATCGTGACGATTTTGCGTGCAAGGGCTGCTCGAGGGCGTTGTCGTCTTGGGGTCCGAGGTGGTGGATTTGTGATGCTTGTGGTAGTGAGTGCACGGACCCTCTCCATCCGCCCTGGGGTTTCAAAGTTGCCGATACCACTGGGTATGCATTATCAAAAGTTTGATAATGACTTGCTTGTTTCTCCTTTGCAAATCCGTGTTGGTGGCTCTTTGAATAACGAATATTCCTCTCACGACTTTATTCTTAATGTACAGTACTATAGAGTTTGCATACAGGCCGTACGGAGAATATATATATATATATATATATATATAATTAAATACACGTAATTATTACAGGCATATATACATCCATATTTACCCCGTACTCCCTCCCACAGAGAATTTCTGTACCACCTTAAATACATACAATAAATTAGGGGGAAAAAAGGGGGGAAAAAAAAAGGGAAAAAAAGCAACTATCAACACGCAGCTTACACCCATCACTTCCTCTCAACATAAACCTCCTCGGCATTTTCGCCCATCTCAGCATCCCTACCATCCTGCCCACCACCCCCAACATCCCCCTTCGCCCACTTCGTCTTCAAGCCCACCAGGCGCCTCCTAACCCAACTGGCGCCCCAGACCACGGCAAAGGTGATAAGGAGGGCTGCAACAACGATACAAAGGTATTTTACCACATTGGCTATACGGCTGCCGTTGGGACCGGGATTGAGGAATGGATATACCCAGAAGCCTTCGGCGGCGTGGGTGATGTAAGCGACCCCTAGGTAGAGGAGGAGGAGGAGGATCAGGAATGGTAAGTGAAGGAGGGGTGGTGGAGGTGCTGTTGAGAAGACGATTTCGAACACGGCGAAGATGGCTGGTAGGACGTGTTTGGAGATCTGGGATTTGGGGGAGGGGGAGAGATATCCTGTCAGCATTATATCTAGTATATACATGTGCTTGAGGGGAGTGATATGAATACAAAAAGATAGACTGGGGCGGGGATGTGGGGCAAGGGGGTAAGGGGCAAGGGGGAACATGGGACTAACATTTCCCCACACCCAGAGTTGGGACTGCACTGAGCCTGCCTTATACAGCAGAGACCAATATATCGCCACGACCACGAACGGGTAGCACACAATGGTGGTATATAGCAGGCTGTGCAAGGCACGCAGCCATCGGGGCCATTTGTCGAACAGCACGGATCGTCCCTGGCGCGCATAAAGGACCGTATGGATGCCGGCAACGAGGAAGTATACCAAAACTCCTAGGAAGGAGAGGGAGGTGAAATAGCTGAAGGATCGCGCATCATCGATCGCGTGGCCGCTAGCGCCCTCCACCGCGAATGAAATGACGGCGGTTAAGATGCAGTAGAAGAAGATAGTCAGGCGTAGGATGCCGAAGACGAGTGGGTAGAATAGCCAGGAAGTTTCGAAGTGGTGGAGTGGGTCATTCGCGGGGTCTGCCCCCATGAGAACGTTCATGGACGGCATTCTGGGCGCCAAAAGCCGTTGTATCTGTGTATATAGATATAGATATAGATATATATATCTAGATCTAGATCTAGATCTTTCCCTCGAGTTCCAGTAAGTCTAGCGTTGGGCTTAAACCGTGCGGGTGCAGCAACTACGACTACGTGGCGAGTTTATATAGAAACGAGATCGCAAACGACCGGAGGATGACGGATTCACGGCATGATACGGGCTTATAATAGATGGCGCTGGGCACTTCTCAACAGACTCATGATGCCGGGTGAACCTTGGAATCCATGGAAACTGAAAATCCGTTGTAAACTCTCCGAAAAAACTATATAACTTATACAGTGCGGCGCGGGAAACTTAAAAGTGCAAATCATGGGACTGAGTTTGTTAGGATAAAAGTCTAAACCACGGGGTAGCGGGGGCCCAAAGTTGAGGCAATTGGGCTTTGTCAATCAAATCGCTGTGGTACGGTACGGTTGGTACGATATTTAAATATGGCTTCAAAATCCTGTCAATGCAGTGCTGTTGCTAGCTGGGTTAACTGACTAGTTACGGAGCAGTTGGCATTGTTAGTTATAAGTTACGAGCTAAGCCCCCCGCACGCTAATAGCGGGAGGGGAGGAACCTCTAACCTGTTGAGAAATGCTATTTTGATATTTTGACCTCTAACCTGAACCTGTGTAGTTAGTTACATTATTGTAGGCACAGACACAAGCGAGGCGGATTCAATCATCTTCGAGCCTGAGTCTTGCTGGGCAGAATCTAGAGTGATATTTTCGAATGGACAGAGTATCGTATCGTGCCTAAATCCTTGGACCTTTAACTTGTCTTCTACTGCGTAGGGACATGATAAGCCACCCCCTGGGGTCACCTGGAAGCAGAAGTGTTCGGGCAGCTTGTTATTTTGGTCTTGTTGGCCGAGTGGTTAACATACGCACGGCGACAATGCTCACACGATCACCTTGAAATTAACAAGACGAAGCTGCGGAATCTCCGAGAAATGATCATTAACTATATCTACGAACCAACTAGGGCCAAATAAGTTAGCGGAAAGCCAAATATATCAGCGGAAAAACTAAAAGAAAACTACCCTGGGAGCAAATCGACCGTGGATAAACGAGGGACAACTCCAGCTAACCCTGGTTTGTTGAATTAACCTTCTTTGCTCTGCATAACGCATATAATGTTTTGTTACTTGCGCAGCCATCCCCATACATATGAAGTTACATAAAGTGGCCGTCCCAGATTGATACATGTACATGTCCTCAGGAGTCTTTTACCCAGCATCCTGAACTCGCCTCAGAAAAGTCCCTAAACCTCCGTGGGCCCTTCCCAGTCACTTTTTCAACATCATCATTCATCCGATCCTCCTCCCCATTTTTAATATTTGTCTCTAGAACCGCCAACATCTGCGCATAATCCTGCGGTATCCCAAGAGTTGATTCCATCCTGGCTGCCAATTCAGCTTCAGAAAGCTTAACATGAGCGATCGTCCTACCGAGCACGGAAGACAGGATATCTGCCAAGTCATCGTAGGACAACAGCTCTGGGCCCAGGATGAGATGTTCAGTGTTATGCGGACGGGCATCCGTTAAGGCGCGGAACGCAACTCGTGCAATGTCCTCTGCGGAGACGAATGGGACTCTCCCCTCCCCCGTTGCGGAATAGATCTTGCTCTCCTCCTTGATAGATAGGAGATGTTGGCCTTCTGAGAAGTTTTCTGTTATAATATCATATGCCGGTCAGTTTAGTCGGATATATCTCCAAATATTGGGCATATGATAATTGCATACCCATAAACCAACTCGGGCGCAGAGCTGCCCACTCAATTCCGCCCTCCGCCTCCGCCTCCGCCTCCTTTACTCCATTCTCCTCTAGACCGGCCAAATAATCATGCACCTGCCCCATCGCAAACCCACCCCTTTCAAGCACGCTAGAACTAAGCAGCACAAATCTTCTCACCCCCCTCCCCCTTGCGAAATCGATGAACCTTTTCATCAGTGGGACCATGTCCAGAATGGGCGGGCCGACGATGTATACTCCCGTGATGGGGCTGGAACTGTATTGGAATTCGGTCCTGACTGCTGATGCTGATGCTGATGCTGATGCTGATACTGATGTCGAGACCGCATTAAACGGCTGTGCCCAGGTGGATTCATCGAACCAGTCGAACTTGACATGTTTGTACGGGCTTGATGGGTAGCTGGTGCGGGATGCGACAAGGAAAGGGACCTCTGGGGCGCAGGTGGAGAGGATGGAGGCGAGGCGACGGGTGGTTTTGCCGCGTCCGCCGAGGAGGAGGATTGTCATGTTATATTGATTTTTGGTCTATGATATATATATATATATATAAATTGTTTTTTGTATGGGTTTTTCAGACCTATGATGTAGGTTCTAGGGGGATGGTGACGCTGTACGCACGAGTAGCTGGTAGACTCCCCGCTTGTTGGTGCTCTTATTCTTTAATTTGCAACGGCTATGACGGGGTCATTGGGCTCAATGGTTCTCGTGCTGCTGCCGGTTAGCCTGATGTTTAAACTTCTCAAAACGACCTGGGCATCTGATAGTATTTATGCTTGCGCGATATGTACATGTACATCACACCCCTAATTGACCCACGCAGCCCAATTACGATGGCACAATGTATGCAACTCTATCATCAAAGCAACCCACCCTGTCAAACCTCTATTATAGCTCCTAATAGTCCTAACAACACGAGTATTTGTGTAAAAAAAAAAAGAGAATTTGTGAGCTTGGATTGCGTTTTTTTCAAGTCTCGCTAAAATCCGGCGCCAAACCCCCTTAAATCCGAGCTCTTTCAAATCCGAAAAAAAAGGACGATGCCAACATTCCCTGGACTTAAAGAAGTTAAGAACTTAATATCCACACGCACGGGTTTAACGCGGAGAGATAATCATTCCGGTATTTTAACTACTGTTGATGGTGATTACTTTGAAATTGAAAAGCAGGACGTGGATAGGGTTTCTAAAGGAGATAGCTGCGGCTTGTGAAGTAAACCACAGATATACACGTACATCGTAAATGTCAGGGTCCAGGTCCCAGGTGAGATCTTGTTCCATATAAAAATCGCCGTAGGTTCCGCCCCTAAATGAACAAACATATCGTAAAGAATTACGTTTTGGAGTCTGCAGAAGGACTATTTCGACATCAGCTACTCTACAGGGAAAAGAAAGAAAGACAAAGCCATGGCCAACTATCCGGCCGTCGACTATCTCCTAGATAGGGCAAATATCCACGATGTCATCACGAAGATGGTAAGTGAACCCACCCGAGAGCCAGCAGAGCGCGGCGGATTATTATGAAAAGAGAGAAAAAATAAAGAGAGAGAGAGAGAGACAGAAAGAGAGAGAGAGAGAGAGAGAGAGAGAGAGAGAGAGAGAGAGAGAGAGAGAGAGAGAGAGAGAGAGAGACAGAGAGAGAGAGAGAGAGAGAGAGAGCAAGCTAGAATGAACACTCGCCATGCTCATATAGGCCAAGGGCTAATAAAATATAAACCCCGAACATGAGAAAAAAAAAACAGAGTTATTACGTCGACACACGTCAATGGGACAAGCTCGCCGACGAAGTGTTCATCCCAACCGATCTCATCATCGACTATTCGAAATGTTTCGGCGTCGAACCGACGCAGACGACGGCGAGGGAGATAGCCACGAATTGGAAACAGCTCATGGATAAGGTGGATGAGGCGCAGCATATTCCAAGGTGCGCGCGTTTTTATATTTTTTTGTTTTGTTTATTTTCAAGAAATGTAAAAGCATGAGTGAGGGCGGGGGGAGGGAGATATGGGCGATATGGGCGATATAGATACTTATACTCCTTGCTAACGACATTGCACTTGGATGTTGTCATTATTTGTCTATATCGCAGTGCTATACTCATCACCCTTCCCCAACCAGGAACAGAAACGGTTGAACCCCGAACGGCCTTTGCCACTTGCAACGGTGCCGTGACGCTGGTCAAGAAAGATGCTGATGGTGGACCACTTGTCTCCAACGGGGTGAGTACCTGGGGGCGAATCAGTTTCTATTTAAACTGCCTCTTTTCTATTTTTATTTTCTTCGCTAGCTTTATTTTTGTTTCGGAGCCGCGGCCACTGACATATGCTCTCTTTTTTTTCCCCCTCCCATACCAGGGCCGATATGACCTTGAATTGAAGCGGGTATCATCCCGAGATTCAGGGGCAGGGAATCCGTGGCGGATCACGAAGCTTGTAGCGAATTTGGCGTGGGTTGAGGGGAATATGAAATTGTTGCCGTATGGTGAGTTAAGGGAAGAGCAAAAAACGAAATGACTTGGGGGGAAAATATGTGCTAGGTATTTCTGTAGATGCATACATGCAGGTGGACAAACGCGCGCATTTAAACATCGTTGGTGTATCTCGCTCTAACACTTGAGAGCGAGGGTATTGTCCTGAAAGAAATAGAGGTTGTATGGGCCGCACGCTCATATGATGAAGAGGATTTCTCTCTTGCTCGACACAATAGCTAGTATTCAATAAATTGTCTTGGTTTTCAGACACAGACATTCAAGGATATTGGTCCTGGAGCGTCGGAACATGTGTATATAGCTTCGTTGCACTTGTTCTGCTGAAGAACGTGTGACGTAGTGATGTACGCATGCATTGCATGGCGCCCGATGCACACAGCATTTATTTAAACTTCTCGGAAAATTAACAGAGCTCGTTTGTCATTTGTCGTTGTACTGCACTGTACCTTGCAGACAACCCCTTCTGCAAGATTGAAAAGCAGCATATGTTGAGCACATCCATATGCAAAGACTCAGTCCAAATGTACCCAGATAGTTGCGTGCGGGGAACTGGAGATATATATGTTGGGTACTTTTATCAGGAATTGCAATAATAATAACCTTTCATTTCTGACAACCACCAACATAAAAGTAACTGCCTAACTTACCCCAAGGCGTGTAGTTTAGTCACCGCCGGCATCATTCAAGAACAACAATCCAGTGATGCTGCGGCGGCTGAGGCAGTTGTTGGAGGTGGGAGGGATTGTTGATAGAGACCAGGGAAGGGAAGCCAATGACTGAGGAGTATCTATCTGCCATCTTGGGGTTATTGTTATATACTTAATAGTTTATTGATTATTTTCACTTCCAGCAAAAGGGAAATTCTTTTTTCAAGGGTGCGGGCAAGGTCTCACTGAACCTTGCTCTCGAGAAGAAACACAGTGGCTGTCGAGGGGTTGGGAAATGTCATGGCAGTGTGTTCTTTTTTATTTGTTGATATTTCCCGACCCGGCCATGTTGGTGTTTCAACATTCCAAGTCGTCCGTCCCAGTTTCCACTAGCAAGTTACTCTGTACAGAGTACGGAGTACAAGAGTGAAGATCATACTTAGACACAACACGGCTTGAACGACCATCGCCGCCCACTCGCGGTGGTTATTTGCTGAACTGTGAAGAAAAAGTTGGGAAAAAAAATAAAAGCGGACAAAAAGTGGTCTGACATAGTTAACCCTGTGCTCCACCGCCAGAAAAGACACGGGAATTATTATTTTATTATTTTATTTTATTATTTTATTTTATTATTTTATTTTATTTTATTTTTATTTTTTGGCGGCCAGACAAGACAAAATCATCAAACAAACAAACAAACAAACAATAAAACTAACTAAGCTAACTTCATACAGATAGAAAATAAACACCAAAAATATTTGCTTTAACTTTACTTCCTGAATAATAAATAAAAATAATAAAATAAGAATGCATCCATCCGGCTGGGCCTCTGATTCTCCGATTGTGATTCAGATGTTTGGTTGGTTGGTGTAGAATAGTTGAAGGTTGTATTGATAGATCTATCTACAGGAACATAATATAGTGGTGGGTCACGTGATCTAGTGGGATCGCTAACCGCAACGGCCGTAAGGGCCAACACCCCCCCTCGAGATAACAAGAATCACATACAAAAACACTCAAACCACCAAGATAGTCTGTCAAAACCAAATACAAATGTAAAATTAAACATTCCCAACTTTTACACCTGTAAGACCTAGCAAAATCATGAATTGTGCAAATGCCATATTATCTAGAGATTTAGTGAGTTCATCCGCTGTCATCTGAGCAGTGAGAACATATTCTAAATCAATGACTCTCTGATTCAACTGTCAATGTGAAAAATGAAAATGTATGTCAATGTGCTTGCTTCAGACTGTAATAGCTGCCACCTTTGTGAGATCTATGATACTCTTATTATTAATGAGAATCTGTATCAGAGATGTAGTGATGAAGTCAAGCTCAATCATGAGGTTTCAGATTCATGTTATTATTATTATTATTTTTCAATTATAGATGTATACAGTCAGAGACTATGACATCTATCTGAGAACTTTAGTTCTCAGGGTTTTTTCTATGTCTGTAAAGTTAACTATTATACATTCATCAATTTCAGATATGTAAAATCAGAAAATTTCAGCTTAGAATACAAAAACTGTTTACAAATTACAGTGTTTTAACATCTTTTGATACTTTGAAATCATTTGATAATATCATGATAAAAGAAAAGAGAAAAAGAACACAGTCTCAAAGATAGACACATTAAATAGATAGATAGAAAGAAATTGAAAGAAAAAGATAAAGAAAAAGATAAAGTAAAGAGAGACTATAATAAAATAAATTATTAAAAGAGAGTGTATAGCTATTTTAACAGATTATATCTGATTAATTTTCTTCTCTTCATATTCAGATAATTCTGAATTTAGTCATTTTCTTATAGCTGCTTGAGTTTCTGATAGAAAGTCTATTAAGTATTTAATTCCTGTCTCAGTTAAGAATAAGAATCTTATATTTAATTAATTTAGATTATACTTCTCTTTCAATCTGACTCTGAGACTATTGTATAATACACAGTGTATTATAATATACTCAGAATTCTTATTTATATTACAGAATGAGCATTCTATTGAGTTAAATCTATCATTAAATCTTTGTATATAAGATTTGAAATAGTCATATTCTAGTTTCAGCTGTATTATAGATGAGAATATTTTCTTTTTATATTTAATTAAACAAGATTTTCACTTGAGTTTTATTTCAAATCTTGAATAATGTATACTCTTCTTTTATTTCTACCAGCTTTCATTTCACTTATCTAAATAAGATTCTTTTATTTTTCTCTTTATAAAAGATCAGAATATAATTTTTTGAATAGATCTGCTTAATTCTACACTCTTTTTTACAGCTGAATCAGCTAATTCATTGTTATAAATATTCATATAAGTAGAAACCTAGTATAGATGAATTATCAGCTTTGATATTCTTCTCTTTTAAATTTTCAAAACAGAGTTTAAGATTAGTTCAAGATTCATTTAATTATTATAAATCTGACTATTTCTAAGTCTTTTTAAAGCAGTTTAACTATCAGAGAATATTCATATCTCTTTCAAATAATTTTCTCTTTTATGAGATTTTATTTCAATGAGTTTGAAAGCTTTCACTATTACAAATAGTTCAGCATCAAAGACTTTATATTCAGAGTCTAGATTTCAGAAATCTGAGATAAAATTAATATTATCTTCAGTATAAGCAATGTCTGTGTCTAATCTATTCAAGTTCTCATTTTTTAAGTCATCTGAATAAATCAGAATAGAGTCTTTTATATTAATTATAGAAATTCTCTTCAAATACTGTTCATATTCTTTCTCTTTTAATAGTTCACTTATTTATAAGTTTATAAGAGATTCAAGCTTTTCTCTTTAGAGAGATAACTTCTAATGATTAACTTTTTCAATATTTAAAGAAGAAAATTGATTTTTAATCAGAGAGTATAGTCTGTACAGTTGAGAAGATATTTTCTTTAAAGAATTATTTTCATTTCAATCAAGAAATCTATTTCAATTCAGTTCATTTTCAGAGTTAATTGATGAAAATGAAGAAGAGACTCTTTCTCTGATTATATAATTTAAGCTCATCTTTATAACTCTCAGAGCATAGTTCATACAGATCTTTTTAAATCTAATAATAGAAGAAGGAATTGAAGCTTTAATTTTCATTACTTTAATAGAAGATGATTTGAATGCTTTCAGAATTCTTCTCAAGACTCTGTTTTACAGACTTTGAAAGAGTTCAGTGAAATTCTCTTGATTATTTCATCAAACTTGAACTTCATAATCAGCTACTGATATAATACAGACTATATATAACTGTCTTATAGTCTGGAAGAATAGACCTCTCTCTGTATTTAATAGTCTGATTATATTATTTAATAGTCTTTCTATCTTGACAGTTCTTTGTTGAATATAATATTTAAAATTCAACTTGAAGTTTAATTATACTTCTAATTATTTGATATTTACACTGAATTTAATCTCTCTATTTAAAAGAGTTA